ACAGTCCAACTGGACTGAGATCCTACTCCTTAAAGACCCTCTCTTCAGCCCTGGCTGGCATGGCTCAGTGGCTTGAGTGCCAGCCTGTGAACCCAAAGGTCATTTCCCAGTCAGGGCACATGGGGCTGTGGGCCAGGTTCCCAGATGGGGGCATGTGAGAGGCTCTCTTTCTCCCTCCCTTCCCTTCTCTCTAAAAATACGTTTTAAAAAAAATGTTTTAAAAAGGCTCTAGGCTCTATCTCCAAATACAGTCACATTGGGAGTTAGGTCTTCAATAAGGAGAGACACAATTCAGTCCATAACACATAGGCAAAATGCTTAGAAACAATGCCTGGCACACACTAAGCACTATAGAAATGTTGGATATTGTTATTAGGAAGTGCTCGAAATTACATTGGTCATTATCCCTGGGGAATGAAATACAAGTGATTTTAGTTTACATTTTTCTATATTTTCCAACATTTCTACATTGAGCAATTTTATTAATTGAGGGTAGGAGACACTAAGCTTTAATAAAAGATATGGGCTGAACATTATTTACAGCTCCTCAACCATTTCATCATATATTCAAAGACTTTGCTCTGATACGTTTTTCAAGGTCCTGGCTTGGCTCTCCAGGTGGGTGGTTGTCCGAGGAAAGAGAAGCAAAGGTCTGGCTCGGCTCACCCAGGCTGGACAGCCAGAGCCCACCTCCCATATTTGTAGCTTCTCCAAACCATCCCATATTTGTAGCTTCTGCTCCCAGCCTTCTGCCAGCAAGATGGAGGCTGCTGGCTGGACTCTGTTGCACTCATTGCTGACACTGGAAGCAAAGGCCCGTGAGGTTGTGCCCCACTGGCATGGTCCGAGCCACTTCCCTGCCTCTTCCTGCAAGGCAGGCTGGAAGAGAGAGTTTTCTAGGTTTTACTTGGGAAGAAGCTACTTAGAATGTGGGGAACTATCAAAATATAGGAGAATGTTAAAAAAAGGTTGACAAGCCCAAATAACGGAGGTCCTCCACCGTCAGAGCAGCGTGGCCCAGATGCCCTCGCCACAGGAGACCGGAGCCCAGGGGGCGAAGGCCATCCTTGGCTGGCTTGTGGGGCCACTCGCAGGCTGGACACAGAGTGGACTCTGGACCTCACAGACCAGAGGATGGTCATTTGTGATGAAAAAGAGGCGGCAGAGTCATGGCTAGTTGGTCCTCATGCCCAGCGGCCTCTAGATCAGCCCCAACTTGTACCATAGAACACAGAGAGGGACAGCGGCTTGCCCAGGGCTGCACAGTGTAACAGAATCAGAGCTGGGACTAGGAGTGGTGTTGGTGGGGGACTTAAGAATTGGAAAATTTTAGTTTTAGGTGATAGTCAATAAGCTTAGTAATTAATGTGTGTAAAAAGCTATTGTTTTAGAAACAGGAAGTATGGTCCACCCTGACTCCAGGAGTCCACGAGCAGTTCCACCTTTGTGCCCCAGGGTGACTGCAAGCCATCAGGATGGTTCTGAGCCATCGTACCCCAGGGAGAGATGTCCACCGCCCAGGACACAGATAAAGAATCCCTGCCCAGGACACAGATGGAAGAATGTTGCAGCTTTTTATCTGATTAACCTTCTGCCTGAATTCCACTTTTCTTCTCCTCACAAAAAGGGCCAGTTTGAAATGGAATGTAAGATGTCTGTTAGGGCACATAACCCACCATCTTCTCAGATTGCCGGCCGTCGGAATAAAGGGCCCATAAATATTCAATCCCTCTCTCTGCTTATTTGTTCTGGAGGTCTTCTGCCATGAACAATTTGACAGGCAGCATGAACGCCGGCTCCTCCAGTGTCCTTTGGCCCACTTCGATAGCTGGCCAGATTTAGGGCCCAACTCAAAGACTTCCTCCTCCAGGAGGTCTTCTTCGGTTTAGGCCAGGCTCAAATGTGTGGCATCACATTCATCGCCCTGGACTGCCCTCTTTCTGTCTCCCCGCCCCCCACCACCCAGCAGGGGCAGGACATATATTAGCGAACATGAGCTGATGGAGTGTGTGGGGGAGGAAGACACTTTTTTTCTGTCTTTCTAAGTTCTCCCAGGTGCTCTAATAATTAAAAAAATATAAGACAGATTAACAAGACAAAATGACCAAATTTAATTCTATACATATGCATAGAACCCCACATACATGAGAGAGTCAGAGTCTCCACGAACACAAGAGGTTCAGAAACAAGAAGTTAAAATGAGACACCTGTGATGTTCTGAGCCGAGGAGGAGGTAGGGTGCCCTGGGGCTCCAGCAGAGAGGAGGGTCATAGGCAGGACAGTAATGAGAGCAGCCGATGTTCCGTTGTTAGAAGTTTTCCCTGCCCAATAGATAGGTCAGAAGAAATATTTCTAGTGAGAACTCTTATTATAGGGAAAGGCCCTTAATTTAAATTCTTTAAGGGAGAGGTAAAAGTTTCTTGGCCGACAGGGTCTTGAATGCCTTCTGCTCCGCATAATTCACGTGCCGAGGTGGCACCTCTTGAGGAAGTCTGTTCCAAACCCCTTCAACTGAATGAGCGAGTGAGTGAATGGGAATTCGGAGGCCGGAACTTCTCTGTGACCTGAGGCAGATACTCTTCTCTCTAAACTTCATTCTCCTGCTCTGCTGAGTGGATAATGTTCTCTGCACTCTCTGGGCCCTGTGCTAGGGCTGAAAACATGGCCAGGATTAGCCCACCTGCCCTCTTCTCTCAGAGGTGCTGATCTGGGAGAAGGAAAGTGTGAACAGAGACCACTGGGGCTGACCCCGCTGACAAAGAGAGATGTTCAAGGACCCTCCAGCCCAGCCTCCAAGTCTCTGGGCCCTTGTCCCCTCCTGGGGGTTCCATGGCTGTCATACGCACAGTCTGGAGGCCTCAGAGCCACAACTACCTGGGTCCACAGATGGTCCATAGATGGAGAACCACAGGGAGGAAGGATACCTCGGGAGCCCAGGACAGGCAAGAACCAGCCTCCTTCCACAGAGGTGGGAACAGGCCAAGAGAGGAGGGAGATACCTGGCCCTGATCCCACAGCCAGACCTAGGGCCTTCCTGTCCCCATCCTTCAGGCGGGCCCAGCCCACGCTCAGAGGAAAACAGAGAAATACTCAGTTAAGCTGGGATCTGTCACAGCTCCAGCACAGGTTTTTGAATTAAAATATTCACAAGTAGCAGAGACATCTGTAGGAAGAATAACTAGATGCAACATTCTGCAGGAGGCTAGACTAAATGTGTCCCATGACATCACTCTGGAGAGGAGGCTGCCAGGAGCCGCGCGAGGGCCTGGAGCAGCGCTGCAGAGGAGCACTGGGCCGGGGTTGGCCGCTTGGCTCCTGGGCCCCCTGCTCTGAGATGAAACGCTTTGCTGGCTCCTGGCCTATGGAGATACTGCCTGCCCACCTCTCTGTGCCAGTCTAGTCTGGGGAGATGCTCTTCTAACCAGCCTTCTGGTTCCCTGCAGGTCTCCTCCTGAGCAGCAGTAGGTCTTCAGTTAACCTGCTGCCAGTGGGTGTGGGGAGTGGGTTCTGACAGCCATGTGACACCCTCTTGGAGGAGCCCTGACAACCCTAGTGTGTGAGAGATTCCACCCAAGAACCAACCGGGTTGTGCCTGAGTTCCAGCAGGAGAAACTTCCCGTGCATCCAGATCCTGTGTTGGAGAAGGAGGCAGAGGGTCCCATTGTAAACACAGGGAGCGTCTCAGAGATGTGCATCTGCACACTTGCCCCTACAAGGTGTACACAGGCAGCCCTGGGCGCACACATGCCATACACTGGCACTGCAGGCACTAGTCCCCACAGGAACTTGCACCCCCGCTGCAGAACTGGGAGTGCACATCACTCAGGGGAGGTGGTCTCTGGTGGGCTTGAAGAGACCTCTGGCTCTTCCACCACCTGCTGCCTGACGTCTCCCCTGCAGTTTCCTATCCTCCTCTTCCCGAGTCAGCTAGTGCAGGTTTCGTGTTTGCAAAGGCTTGGGCTGCTGGAGCACTGTCCTTGGTGCTGGAGGACTAGAGGGATGCTTGTGTTTTGAGCACAGGCAACAGTGTTGAGAGGAGGTGACCTTGAAATCCAGGTGTATCTACACTTCTTTCCAGGAATGTGCACCTGGGCTTCCTCCTTTAGGTCACAGACACGGAAACAGAAGATGTCCAACCCTCCAGCCAGCAGTGTGTCCATTCGTGGCACTGGGTGGCCGCGTGGCCATCCACTGTAGCAATGAGGTGCCACATATGGTTGTGTATAAAGATCATGATTGTCTGTGTCCTCTGAGACACCTGTGATTCCATGTGGCTTCCTGTGACCTCATGTGACCTCAATGGGCAGCCTGTGATTACAGGGAACCCCATCTGACCTTGGGTGGCCTCAGATCCAATCTTCCCACAGGGGAACTAGAAGGACTGGAGTCCCCAGAGGGCCTGGGCACTATCGGCCTAGCTAACCCCTTTGCTAGAAACTAGAAAGAACCTCAACCCCTCTTTCCTCACTGCCTTGCAGAGTTGACATCCAGAGGATCCCGGTGTCTGCAAATTAAGGTCCTCAGGTCTGTGCCAGCCGGCGGCAGCCCACAGGCGTGTGTCTCCTAGGACAGGTGACCGTGACCCCTCTGTCACCTGATCCTGCCCAGCTATAAAAGCCAGGGTCGCGCGAGGTAAGAGTCGCGCATTGGTGGGGTGGACGCGGCGTCACGCTCCAGCTCTGGCCGCCCGTGCGCCCCTCTTCTGCCGGTTTCCCCAGAACGACGGATCCTGACGTTGGGGGCGGGCGCGGAGACGGCTGGTCCGCTCGGCGGCCGGGCCCCTCCCCCTCCGGGACCTGGCGGTTCGGCGGCGCCTGCGAACTCGGGCAGCCCCCAACCCGGGCAGGCCGAGGACCGGCGGGGGCGCCCGCGGGGAGCGCGCGCCGCGCCCTGCCCCTCCCGCTGAGACTCGCCGCGGCGCGGGGAGGGGGCGCTGCGGAGCAGGGGGCGGGGGCTAAAAATACCCGGCGGCAGCGCGGCGACTGCTGGGGCTGCGGAGCCGCGGGGCTGTGGGCCGGGGAGGCAGTGCCGGGCCGGGCCGGGCCCTGCTGCCGGTCATGCTGACCTTCTTCCTCGTCTCGGGGGGCTCTCTCTGGCTGTTAGCGGGTAAGTCCCCACCCTGTCCGCGTCTCTTAGCCCCAGCCCGGCTCGCTGTGGGGGTCTTGGTCTCCAGTTGGGGTGAACCCCCAGCCCCAGCTGCCAAGCCGTCCCTCAAGCCCTCTTCCCCCATGCCGCCCAGGTGACCACTCCCCAGATTCTGGCGGACTCCGGGCGGGCTTGGGAAGCCGCTGGGTGGGTCTGCAGAAATGAGAGGCCTCGCTCTCCGCGACCCCACAGCAACCTCCCCCCAGTTCTCGCGCCCCCACCCCCCATGGCGAGGACTATTCGCTCATCAGACTAGGCCCTGAGCCCTTACATTCCCCCAAGGCCAAGTTCAGGGACAGACTTAGTACATCCTTGTCCTTCTCTGGTGTCCAGAAACTGAGGGTACTGGTCTCATAGGTCCCGCAGCAGGTCCGCAGCGTAACCAGGAGTGACCTGGGCTTCCTGATCTCGGTGAGGGATCTCCTCAAGACCCTCCCCCAGCCAGCGTACCCCTCACCCCTCAGCCACCGTACAAGGTTTCTGCAGAGCGGGGTCCCTTGGCTTCTCAGCCTCGCCCAGAGCTCGTGTCTGCATCCCCCTCCAGGAGTCAGCCCTCACCCCGCCACCTCTCAAGAGGCTGTGAGGTCCACTGCTCCCTGCCCTTCCCCTCCCCGCACACCCCGGGCCCTACCGCAGGCCCCTCACGCGCGGAGCCTTCCGCCTGCGCCCACCTCCACGCGCTTTGAGCCCTGCGTTACTCCACTGAGGGGCCTCCTTCCCACCCCCACCCCCACCCCCACGGGCAGAGTCAGCCTGATACTGTATGTGAAATAACCTTATGACCAGGTTAAGAACCTCAGCCTGGTCTTAAACTGGACCTGCCCAGAGCAAAAGCTCTATGAATGTTAGTGTTTACTATTTTACATTAAAAGAGCAGCATCAGAGGAGGTAATACGATTCTTTTTGAGGCGAAGAATAGGGAGAGTCAACCCTTTGGAATCCTACCTGAAACTTGGCCTGTCACTTAATATTCACAGCAAATCCTAAGCGGTTATTGTTGGTGCTTTCCCGGTTTTACTGAGGTTCAGAGGTTAACTGACTTGTCCAGGGTCACCAGGATAATACCCGGCAGACAGGGGTTCCATCTGAGGTTTTAACTGGTCTATCATTGCTAAGTGCTTGGCGGTATTAGGCCTGAAACTAGAAAGCTCGGGGGCGAGCCCTTCATTCCTCCCACCTACTGCCCAGTGCCCTGAGTTGGGCCCCAGGGACACCTCCCCTGAGCAGGGGTGGGCGAGGCCTCTCTAATCCCCTTCTCTCCCTAAGCTCCTTCCCTTGGCCAGTGCCCAAGCCGGGCCACCCTGAGTCTGATGTGCTCATCCCACAGGCAAGGTCGCGGCCAGAGCTGGGGCCAGGGGGACGGGGCAGGAGCCATCACACAGACAACAGTGATATAACAGCCTCCGTTTATTGCCTGGGTGATGGTCTCAGGGCCTTTCTCCAGAGCGGGGACCCCTTCGCCCTGCCCTTGGGGGGGCCCCACCCAGCTGTGGGTTGAAGGGCAGCTCTCCAAAGCCTCAGTCGTCTTGTGGCTGCAGGGGGGTATCTGAGGTCTACCTGGCCACCTGTGCCAGGAGTCATCAATAGCCCGTGAAAAAGAGCCCCTCAAGTGCAGGGTCCCCGCCTGCAAGAGCTGCAGCAGGCGCTGACTCAAACTGGCCATCTGTGCCGCTTCGTTGTGGAGCGTTTCCGAATGCGGAAGCCGCCTCACTGGGGGACTGTGCAGAGGCCTTGGGTGGTCGGCTCTTGTGCACGTGGCAGCTGTCTCCATAGGGGCCATGCTTCTCGACACAGACAGGAATTTCCTCAAAGATGCCACACTTGGCTGAAGACACTGAGGCTGGTGTGTGGCATTCTTTGGATGGAACACCCCAGACACACATTGGGGCATTCCCAGATCACATGTCCACTTTGCTCAGGACTTTACCTGGACCCCAGCCGTTCCCTGGGGGCAGAGGGACCCCTAAGCTAAAACTGAGAACACATTCTACCTTGCAGCTGTCACAACCCTTTGGCTCATCCAGAAACAGAAGACCTTTAAGGTGATGTCGCCCTTTAGTAGAGTTATGTGCTTTTGGCCACCTAATCTGGCCCTAGGGAGACAAGAACGGCATACAAGGGGCCGCAGGGAGAGAATGACAGATGAGCGCTGCCTGGGGGAGGAACTGACCGCCTGGGAGAGGCGGCCATGTGCTCTGAGCCCTCGAGCACAAGGGCTGCATCTGTCCTGCCCCCACTTGGGGGGCCAGCCCGCAGTCCACCTGTATGTTGACCAATAAGGAAGAAGATAATGCAGATCCAGCCTGAGTCAGACGCAGGGCCTGGTCTCAGGGCCCTCAGCACCCAGAGGACTATGGCCGCGATGGGCCGACACTTTTGCCTACATACATGGCACCACTGGGCAAAGTAGATGAATTTCTAACAGGGCACCCCTTCCTCCAGCGGATGCAGCCCCAGGCTCTTGTACAGGGTCCAGTCTGCCCAGCCAAATACCTGGCCCGCAGTGGCAACTGAGTGGACTTTTGCATCATAGAGGGGTGTTTGTCAAAGGCAGGGAGGCCGATCTCCAGGTAGAGAAAGTCAGGCCAGTGAAGGTATGCAAGAAGAACCAGGGGTGGGTCTTCAGGGTCTTGTGACTGGGGAGCCTAAATTGTGGGTGGAAGATGGAGTCTGGATAGAAGGGGGTCCTGGAGGAGAGGCCTTCGTCTAGGGGCAGAGAAGCCCTCGTTGTGGCTGTGGTGGCCGGCCAAGCCAGCAGGAGGAGGGCGCAGCCTGGGAGAGCAGCGGGAGGCTGTTGTGATGTATATGAGAATAGATGTGGCCCAAGGGTGGCCCATTTGAAGCTGAGCCCTAGGAAGGGGAAGGTAGGAGGCCTGGTGTGATCCTGGGGGCGGCCCTGGTGGCAGCTGTCTGGCTGTAGATGTCCAGAGCAGATGCAGACTTGCACAGCCTGGCTCAGCTCAGCCCTATCAGATCTTCCCCCCGACCCTGGACCCCACAAGGCTGGGGGACTGGTGTGAGGTCTGGGACCGCGTCAGGGGTCCCAGGAAAGCAGCTAGGACATTGACGGATGGTGGAGCTCCAAGCAGAACAGCTGAGGATATGTCTCACCAAAGAAAGGCTGAATTTGCACAGGGCACAACACCCTGTGGGAGAATCCTGGCCTCAGCGCCTTCTCACCGTCCCCGCCTGCGCTCCCAGTGAGAGCACACGGACACCAGGGGGCAGCAGAGCCAGGCCGTTCTGCTCTCAGGCGGGTTTTCTGTTCCTTGTGATTGTGAGGGCACTAGGTTGACCTTCAAAGGCAGAATTTGGCTCAGCTACAGCCCTGGTTGGGACCCAGGGCCGCCCCCTACACACAGCAAGCAGGATAGGTGAGCATGAAGCTCTGGCTTATTTGCAAAAAGAGGCAAAAGTGGTAGGTGTTTGTATAGTAGAAACTGCACTGTGTAACTAGCCAGTGCCTGGAAGGCACTCAGATAGTCACTGAATATGGTACTGTGGGTGCAGGAAAGTTTTCTTTATGGGGGAAGTGTTACAGACTTGCTGACTCAGCTGCTCCTTCCCTGAGCACCCACCATGTGTGAAGCACTGTGTTCTACAATCCCCCAAGCTTTCCTTCAGTCTTCCCCCAACGCTGTAGTGCCGTTGAATAGATGAAGCACTAAGACATGGGGAGGTTCAATGGTGAAGCAACTCCTAGGAGCCGTGAGCCAGACCCGTTCTCAGGCTCCCAGTCCGCGACCAGGCAGTGCCCGAGCCCCTCTAGCAGGCTGCCAGTGGGCACAGACAGGGGAGCATTTAAGAGAGGATGGGTATAATGTGCCAAGAGCAGGGGCTGGCACACAGGAAAGGACTCATTAAGTGTTAGCTCAAGTTATAACAACGTGAGCTGGGCCTTCTTGGAAGGCGGAGTCGGGTTCTGACCTGCAGGAAGAAAGTAAGGAAAGAAAAGGCATTCCCGGCAGACGGACCGTGTGAGGAAAGAGATTAGGGACATACTCTGCTTGGCCAGTGAGGTCGCCAGACCTGGGCTCTAGGCCCCGGAATGCCAGGCCCGGCCACATGGGCTTTGTTCTGTGTCGTGCTTGCATCAGTGACTACAGCCCAAAGTGGGGATGTGGGCGGCCAAGGTAACCCTCTCCCTGCACCCCACAAGCCACGTGTATACGCTGGTGGCACACCTTCCACTGAACTACAGTCTCTGGCCTCCCCCGCTAGCCCTTTGACCTTCTTGAGGGCAGGGCCAAGGTATCTCCTCTCTGTATCTCAACCCAAGGCCAGGCACACAGTGTGAGTCAGCGTTACTGCATACGTGAGTGATACGAACCGTTCCTTGAGAAAAGTTCGTGTTGTTTTAGTTATTTACTTTTTTGGTAGATGCTGAAATTATGGTTGTCCCAGTTTTCCCCCATTGCTCACCCCTGCCCCACCCACCACCCACTCCCACAGTCAGTCCCCACCCTGTTGCCCATGCCAATGTTCTCTAACTTGGCCCTTTCCCTTCTTTCCCCCATTATCCTCCTCCCTTCCCCTCTGGTCACTGTCTGTTTGTTCCTTGTTTCCATGCCTCTGGTTCTATTTTGCTCATTTGGTTTTCTTTGTTGTTGTTGTTCATTAGGTTTCACTTACAGGTGAGATCATATGGTATTTGCCTTTTGATGCCTGGCTTATTTCACTTAGAGTAATGTTCTCCAATTCCATGCATGCTGTGCCGAAGGGTCGGAGTTCCTTCTTTCTTTCTGATGGAATCGTTCTGTAGTACCAGTTTGTTAGGGTCTTTTTTTAGATTTTATTTATTTTTTATTTTTAGACAGAAGGGAAGGGAGTGAGAAAGAGAGAGAGAGAAACATCAATGTGTGGTTGCCTCTCGCATGCCCCCTATTAGGGACTTGGCCCGCAACCCAGACATGAGCCCTGACTGGGAATGGAACCAGTGACCCTTTGTTTCACAGGCTGGT